ATAGTGTGAGACCCTGTCTCAAAAAAACCCAAAAAAACAGAAAAATAAACAGATATTGAGACATCAAAAAATAAAACTCCCAAAAACATAAATAAATAAAGTGAAACCCACAAGAGACCAATCAAATTACATGAGTCATCCCTGCCTTAGAATCCCAATGATGAATGTAACTGTACTGTATACCTAGACTGTACCAATAACCTCAATAAAAAAGAAAAAAAATACATAGTGAGACCCTGTCTCAAAAAAACCCAAAAAAACAGAAAAATAAACAGATATTGAGACATCAAAAAATAAAACTCCCAAAAACATAAATAAATAAAGTGAAACCCACAAGAGACCAATCAAATTACATGAGGGTCATCCCTGCCTGTACTTTTTAATTTTTGTTTTTGTAAACCCAGGGCCTATGCACTGAACTCCATCCCCAGCATTTTAATTTTTTTTTTTTAATTTTGAGATAAAGACTCCCTAAATTGCTAGGTTGCCCAGGCTGGGCTCAAACTCTCAATCCCTCCTGGGCCTCCCAGAGAGCTGGAATTACAGGAGTGCACCAGCTCTAACCTGTACTTTTGAGAAGCACCAGTATGGAACTCTGAGGACGCTCTTTGCCCCGGCAATAGGGAACGCTACGCCGTTCAGGCCAGTGGTCCGAGCCAGGATGGCCACGAGCCTGTGGACAAGGAGCAGACTGAAGGTCTCCATGAGCACATGCCAAGGGCATGAATGTGGAGCAGGTACTCTGCTAACTGCAGTAAAACAAACAAGTCATGCCCCACCTCCATTATGGAGGAGGAAAACATAAAGGCTGAAGAAGAGGGAAATTGTCTCAACTCCATGTCATCTGAATTGAGAAGGAGTAAAGATAAAACTTCTCAAAAATCTGGTAATCTGTCCTGCAAATCTTAGACACTGTCTGCAGGAAATATTTTCTGGCTGGATTGGCTTGGAAGCCAGAGTCTCAGATATACGGACCTGTGGACATTCATCCACGCTACATTATTACAGAGTTCCTTGGTGCCTGTTAGGGCATTTTCAGAAGCAAATCATGTTAATAATGAACTTTTTGTCATACAATTTTATATTGACATACAATCCTATTAAAAGAAAAATAAGACTTACTTTGCTGTGATGGAACCATTTAAAGTCTTAGAATTCAAAGAACAATATAACGGTGTCTGCAGAACAACTTCAAATTTTGGTAATACTGAAAAAGAAAAGAATCTTTTAAAGAATCTATTTTACTATCACCTTCTGCAGACCAAAATTTAAAAATAGAGTCATTCTGAAAGAGTTGATAACTGGTCATACTTGAACTTAGATCCATGAGGATCCAAATACATTTAACACAGAGGAAAAGCTTTGTATTTTATTCAAAATCAGAAATCTTTACTTCCATCAATTTTGGTTTTTTTGCTTTGTTTTTTTGTTTTTTCCCAGTACTGGAGATCAAACTCAGAACCTTGCGCTAGCAAGGCAGGCACGGTGCCACTGAGCTACATCTCAGGCTCGTAAATCAGTTTTATACAATTAAGCTCAAATGCTTTATAATTAATACTGTCTAATATAAAGCACTCTGACAGAGTTTTACTTTTTTTTTTTTACTTTTTGCCTGATCTATAGGAAATTTTTTCTATAACCTCATTGACCAAAGAAGTAGATGAAAGTCTCATAAGCAGACACTTTACTTTTCAATTAACATAAGATAAATATCACAAAAGCCCATGAGCATTTGGCCAAGGAAATCAGATGCCTCCTCCCGGACACGTCAGGCTGGCATTCAGTCCCTGTGCCATGCCGAGCAATGACACACACCTGCCCAGCGCAGTACAGTGAGACATGAAAACAGGCTGCAAACCGTTCTTATAGGTCAGCACTGTGCAAAGAAATGTGAGCCCCGTATGCAGTCACATTTAAAAAGCAAAAAGAGGCAGGGTATGGTGCCGCACGCCTATAATCCCAGCACTCGGGAGGCTGAGGCAGGAGGATTGCTGTGAGTTCAAGACCAGCCTGGGCTACACAGTGAGTTCCAGGTCAGGCTGAACTACATAGTGAGACCCTGTCTCAAAAAGAAAAAAAAAAAATGTAAAGAAAAATGAGTGGTTGGTTTTTGAAATATTTTAAGCAATGTATCCAGAACCTAATCTAAGTGTAACCTACATAAATGAACTATGAATGCACTGTTTGTCTTTCTCCTTCTTGCACGAAGTCTGGGGAGGCTGCAGTGAGCTCCCAGGACCCGCTGCGTGTCCAGCTCTGAGCGGCCATGTGAGGAGAGTGCTCAGCTAACTACGGCCAGCGCCAGCCAACAGTGGCCTTTGGTATCTTTAATTGGTGAAAAAAGAAAAAAGCAAAAGGACGGTGTAAATGTTACGTGAAATTCAAGGGTCGGTGTCTACAAAGTAAACTTGGCTATCGTAGCGCAGGAACATTCGCTTGCACACTGTCTGCGGCTGCTCTCCCAGCAAAGCTGAGCGTTAGAGAGTATTATAAAGCCTCCGACACAGCCTGGCAAACACTGCTGACTACATCCTGAGGGATCCGGAGACACAGATCAGAAAATACCACATGAGCTGCAGGCACCGGAGCCACAAAGGCGTCCACCAACTACTTTCCTGAATGTCTACAGCCTGAATGAAATGTGGCACAAGTCAAATAAAAAGGCTCGGGGCCGGGGACGTAGCTCAGTGGTTCTGGCACTGGCCTCACAAGCACAAGGACCTGAGTTCGATCCCTGGTACCAAATTAACTGATTAATTAATTAATTAAAAAGGCTCATATATAAACCCAAAGTAGCTGTATACATTCTCAGTACTCCTTCTACATGCAAGAAAAACAAAATAGCTGGACCCACGCTTTTATCTGTGTGTTTTCAAGGCAACTCTGCAAACACAGCACCCACCAAGACCATCTTTATCAGCGTTAACCAAGTACTGTAAAACTGTGGAAAGCAGTGCGCGTTACGTTTGGGGGTTCTGTTTGTGGGGCTGGGACAGAAAACAAGCCCACAGAGCTCTATGATCCTCCTCCGTCTCAGCCCTGATGGTAAGTGTTTAAATAGGCAAAACTTTAAATATCTGAGCATCACAACAGAGCACAGAAAAAGGAATAAACCACGCTTAAGAAAAGAGAGGCATAATGAAAGCCCAAGTAACATTTTTTTCTACTTTTTTTCTTTATAATAAGATTTTAGGATATTTACAAAGGAAAACAAATGTTTTGACCTATAAAAAACACCAGAATTTTCTCTCCATTGGAATTTTTACTTTAACACCTACCTCGAAAATGTATCTTATTTCAGTAAAAAGTAATAAATTTTTCTTTCAAAGTAAATTGAGGCACACTTACCATATTCTGAGACCTGAAATGATTGATAATATGTCTGGCCCTGTTGGGAGAAGGGAAAAAAAAACAAGAAAATCTGTGAGTTCTTATTTGATTATTTCGCATGCCTACTTACCTGCACTATAAAGGTTTATAAAATTAATTTTAAATTATATTTATAATGATTTAATGAACAAACCAGTTTATTTTACTTGGGGAAGTTGTTTTTTTTGGTAGTGGAGATCGAACCGGGGACCTTGCACTTATGAGGCAGGCGGCAACACCACTGAGCTAAATTCCGGGCCCAGAGAAGTTTATTTCCATTCAACTGCAACATTGAGCTTGTGAGATTTCAGATGTTTTCTTCCCGACTTGCTTACATAAAAAGGTGATCTGTCACTTCAGTGACCTATTTAATTTGACTTCTATTATTTGCAAAGTAAGAATTAGATTAAATTAAATAATTCACAAATTTATGAAACAAACAACATATACCAGACTCACAGGAAATTGCTTCAAATTTGTTTCAGTCATCACTATTGAAAAGGCAAGGAATAAAATGAAGTTACAGATAATTCAAATTCTTATAAATAGTCAAATATATAAAATCAACATTGACCAATGTCTTCCACCTTTCTAACTCCTTAAACTATTTTCTCATGTAACCTTTCAATCAATAAGTCTTACCCTACTTTAACATGTATAGCTATTTCCTTTTCAAAGATCGAAAAGAAAATATGTGGCCTATTTCGTATCATTTTTATAACTCTGTAACTGTCAATTTTAGATCATAAGTAACAAGAACAGAACCTTTTCAAAATACTAAGTAATTTCACTAATAAAATTTGTATTCTTATTCCCTAAACTTATCAAAGCAAATATGCAGATGTAACTAGAAAATAGTAGATCTTCTTTTAAAAAACTATTCTTAATCTAAAGCATCTGGACAGTACTAGGAAGTTTTTCTTAATCTTAAAGGAAGAATATAGTTCATTTCAAAATATAAAACAAATGTAATTACTTATGTGATAACAAAATAGTTGTCTAAAACCTGGTTTCCATATTGTCATTTAAGAGCTGGGCGTGGTAGTGCTCGCCTGTAATCCCAGCACTCAGGTGGCTGAGGCAGGCGGATCGCTGTGAGTTTGAGACCAGCCTGGGCTTCATAGTGAGTTCCAGGTCAGTCTCAACTACATGGTGAGACCCTGTCTCAAAAAACAAAACAAAAAATATGGTCATTTAAAGAAAATGAAATGTGTAGTTTTGATCCAGGTCTTAAAACTGTCCATATGTATTGTGCCTTTCTTAAATTATTTTCATGTCATAAACAGGAATGCTATAATTATATGGCTATGACTCATGCCTAAATTCTAACTTGTCATCCTCAAAATCAAATCAGGTTAGTAACCTACTTATATTTCTTAGGGGTTTTGTTGTTGTTATTGTTGTTGTTGTTTTGTTTTTTTTAAAAGAAAATCTACTATTTTTCCAGTTACATCTGCATATTTGCTTAATCCCGTCTCACTCCCAAGTGGCTGGGATTCCACATGGAAACCACCGTGCCTGGCTGATTTGCCATCTTTCTGTTGTCCACCTCCTTCCCTCATTCAGGCTGTATACGTTCTCGAGCCCTTTGTTTTCTCAGTATTTCTAAGCATCTTTCAGACTCTTCCTTGTTTCTTTGAACTTCTCCTGATCCTGATCTATTGGCCCTACTGATCCTGAGGAACTCATCAATTCTCATGTTTTCACTGCCCATATCTCAATCCAGTGATTCAGACTCAACAGTACCAAGAATCAACAAATGGGATCATATTAAATAAACCTGTGCACAAAACAACCAAGACAGGGGCCCATCCAGCTCCCAAGTATCCAGGAAACAAGAGCTGCCCCTGTAAAAACCGATTTACGAACTGTATTAAACTACCTCAAGACAGTGGCTATCAACAGATGCTTGCCTGCAACTTCTCAAAATGGATGAAAGTCTTCCCCATCTAAACAAAAAAGACACAAGAGGTGACCAAGGCATTGATAAAATACCTCATCCCAAGATTTAGACTGCCTTTGACCTTGGGTCACACCACGGACCAGCACATATAGCCAAGATATTCTAGGAGCTCACACAGATGTTAAAGATAAAATAGAAGCTTCACACAGTCTACCAGCCACAGAGCTCAAAATAAGTACAACACATGAACCAGACACTCAAAACAATTCCTGAAGAAAAAAGTGTCAAAAAAAAAAACCCCACTTGAGGCCAGGGATACAGCACAGCAGCACAACCCCTGCCTGGCAAGTACAAGGTCCTGAGCTCAATCCCCAGTACCAAAAAAACAAAACAAAAAAATACCTGAGATGAGATCGAGTCCTCCCCATGATCCTCCTGTGAGTCCAGTACACCACCACCAAACAAACTGGGTATTTCCACATATAAAATTTTGTTCAGCAGGCCACACCCAATCACAGGTCAATAAAGGGCAATCTTTATAAACTAAAAAATTGTCCCTGAGAAACAATACAAGCTTTGAGAATAACCCTACAAGACATCCATAACCATATACAAGAAAAATACACATAAGACCCAGCACATCCATTCAAACCTGGGGACTTTGTTTGGGCCAAAAAATAAAATAAAATAAATAACATCCAACAATCCTAGGGACCATATAGGATAGGCCTCATACTGTAAACCTGTGTGCCCCCTCTCTGCTAAAATTCCAGAAACTGTATCTTACATCTACCACAGCTTGCTAAAGCCAACTGCTCAAGACAAGTAGACCATCACTTCTCGGCCTTTTGGCTATGATCACATGAAGACAAGTAGACCAGCCAACAGGATCCAGACCACCTGAGCCAGCAATCCAGCGACAACATCAGGCTGCCACCAGAGATGACAGCCCTGCTCTGGTCACTCTGGAAGCTGACCAGTCCACACATGGCCAAAGCTTAAATATCAACATAGAGTCACAACGACAACATAAGTTCCTTATCCTTTTGTTATAATTCTCCCTAGCCTCTCACTGCTACTTGTCAAAAACATTGTCGGCCATAGAGACTCTGAGAGGCACAGCACCACTAGACTGATGGCCTTAACCCAGTACCAACTTCTGCTCAAGTAAGTTGGGTGTTTTTGTTTTGTTTTGTTTGTTTGTTTTTGGTACCATGGATCAAACTGGGGTCCTTGCACTTGTGAAGCAGGTGGCGGAACCACTGAGCTAAATCCCCAGTAGGTTATACTGAGGACCCCTTATGACAAAAATTGATAATAATGATGATGATGATGGTGTACTCCAGTAAAACTTTATAAAGAGTATCAAAAGAGGGAATGAAGCAGGATTTAAAGAAAACCAAGTCCTTCCTGGCCCTGGACAGTCTTCCCCCTGCCACCATTCCCTCTCTGTAGTTGTAACTCCTTGTTCTGGTACAGAAAAAATTAACAACTATGTCCTGTAAGCAAAGCTCATCGTACTATTCTCATATGATTCATAAGACACTGTCTTCTTTCAAGGCAAAGTTACAAAACTGCCTGCTTTTGTCCTGTGAACTCACTTGCTACATCACTAGAAAAACCACCCCCGTCCACAAAATATATAAAAACTGGAATATCTCTTTGTCCAACTCTCAGCCATTTTAAACACAAGAGTCCACTGAGCCGGTATATAGAACTTAAATAAATCCTCCTGATTCCCATTTGGCCTCTCCTGTTTCTTGGAATTCTGCAACACTACAAGAAATGTAAACATTTTGTACTACAATCATATACTAATAAAAAAAATTTTTTTAAACAAAAAAGAAAACAGGTGTCAAGCTGGGTTTGGTCTTCGGGCCAGGGTTTGCTGACTCATGGTCTAAAAAAGGAGATTTATTTCCAAATTGTTCTATGTGAGTTCTAGCTGAACTTAACTAAACCTGACTAAATTTAAATAAAACCACGGAGCAAAAAACACAGGAAAAATAAACATAAACACCTGGTCTTTTGTAGGAAGTACAAGTTTCTTTTAGGACATCATTTCCCTTCTATTTCAGAAGAATTTAATCTGCTGTAAATGAGTTTTTATGTTAATTGTACCTCGTGAAAAGGGTCGAAGTTATCATTCACTCTGCCAGCAACCTGAAGGCTTAAATTCTTGGGCTCCATGTCTTCCAGGCAAGCTCCTTTCCAAGTAAGAGATAACGTGACTCATCAACACCTCAGAGTTTCTTTCCCCAACACGGTCACTACTCACCGTCGGGAAAAGCACACATATTCACTCTCTGTTTATATTAGATGTAGGTCTGCTTTGATTAGATTTTCTAAACAATTTCTAAGGCAAATACAGAAAAGAAGAGCCAGCGCATATTCTCAGAAACCTCTGTAATTTAACCGGCCCATTCCCTGAACAGAAAATTCAGTGTGAGGGTGCGTGCAATGGAAGTCAGTCAGATGAAGGGGAAAGAGAGAAAACGTTATTTTCCTACCCTTCTAAGAAGTATGCTACGACTGAAATACAATTAACAGACTCCTGAACTGCTGAAACTAGCCAGTCACGGAATTTTCCTTCTCTAACGACAAAACCATCCAATTCTTGAAAGCGTTTCTATTTTTAACAAGTCTGAGTGAATATAGAACACTACATAGCCATTTAAAAATACACTTAAAATGTATGTCAATTTCTTTCAACTCACGCTCAGGGAGTAAGAAGAAGTGCTTAGAAACAGAACTAAGCATCCAAACACGCTATGATGTCCCTGATGATTATTTCCATTTCCTAATAGTCCGCCTTGGCACGTAGCTCCAGCATTAAGAGAAGCACTGAAATTTTTAAATCGGTACATAAAAGGATATTAGAATGGAACGATTTCAGACCCAGTTTGGGCTTTGGCCCCAAAGACAACAGATGCAAAAGACATCCCACAGGACAAAGCCAAGCGCAACACTGCCGTGCAGGACTGGCAAAAGCAAGCTTCCAAAAACAGTCTGCAACTCTTAACCTCACACGCAGGTGAAGGCCACAAAAGGGTCAAGGCAGAACTAAACAAGAAGGGAATTTTCGGAGAGTGTCTATGAGCGAGGGGCGACATACA